CTTCCAAAATGTGGGTGGTTTATTGGAGGGTTTATCTACTTATTTTGTCTTATCTTTCTTAATTGCAAGCTCAGGTATAAACAGAATAATTGAATCTGCAGAGTAAATAAACAAGCACTGCACAAGAACTGGGATTAGTAAAGATTGCCTGAAAATTCCCAGGTGTACCTGTAGGTTTCTCCTACAGCTGGGCTTGCTTTGTGTCACAGGGTTTTGATGTAGGCCCTGCTCTGTGATGATGAAGTTGTGAAACAGAAAACTCTGGGGAATTATGCAGCGTTAAGTGACGCAGAATAATCTTTGACTATTCAAAAAATTTCATTCTCCTTTTTGCCCTCTGAACAGGTGTAGTGCTGGCTGAAGTGAGTGAAAGCAGTTCCTACTTCCAAGGGCATTATTTATTCAGAGATAATTATTTATTGGTTAAAATGCATTCTCTTCTATGCCCAAAATTTGCAATCCATGTTTTTCTGTATTGCAAATTAACATCCATTTCCATTTTAAGAATGACAGTGAATGCAACAAGAAGGGCCAGACTGTGAAAAAAAAAAAAGTCTGCTAATTTGTAGTCTTTTAAACATGTAATGCTAGTCTTTGATGTTAACACACTATTAAAAAGGAGCTGGGAAGTTCGCATGTCTGTTCCTGTGTCGCTTGTCAAGCAGCAGAACAGCTCAAAGAGCAGCTGGTTGGTTTGCAGCATCAAACTCACCTCAACAACTTTGGCATCCTATAAAAAATGTTGGTACCTGACATCTTAAAATGTTATAGAACATGCATAATCCATGGGAGGAAGCTGCATCTGCAGGGCTTGTGCCTCTCTGTGCCCTTTATTCTCTCTCCAGCAGCAAGAGCAATGTGGTCCACGTGAGCCTGACTTGGCTTCTCCACAGTGCCTGGGGATGGAGGAACAGCCACATCACCCTGGCAGGCAGAGTCCATGCACACTGACCCGGGGACTGTGCTTACAAAAACCTTTGAATATCAACACAGGAAATAGTTCAATGTTTTGGGACTACAATACTTGAAGGGAAAATGTATTTGTCTTTGTGGGGTTTATTTTAGCCAGGGTCGAGGTGATAACAATTAATAAAAATCCTTAAACTGTTTCTGGCAGCAGCTTGTGCAGCATTTTAGTTTTCCCTCTGAACTTCTGTTAATCGGAAAAAATATGCAGCCATTTCAGTTATTCCTCTATAAGGTGAGCCATAACTGCTCTCATTTTTTCCATTTCTGAAGTGAAGAGCTTCACTGAAGTATCAGGAAATCATCAGTGCCTTTCAGAAAATAAAACAGAGTAACTTAGGTATTTGAAAAAGTTTTCAGCTTGAAACATAGACAGTTGTGCTGATAGCAGCTACCTGATCCAAGTAATGGTCTATTTTTCACCCATAACAAGTAGGACACAAGTACAATATACATACTTTTGGCATAAACAATGAACTGCATTCCCATTTTTAGGGGAAGACAGACAGAGTCTCATTAGCATTGCTGTATTGATATAACTGAGGCAACATGCGAGGCATGCACACACTGATTACACTGCAGCACTGTGATGAAAGCCAAATCTTTTTTCCCTCATAAATAGGCCAAACTGGTGTTTCTACACCACTGTTTTACCTGCTATTTTGCAAGGCTTTTTCTTTTCTTTTGGCACAGTGGTGGAGCTGCTTTCAAATGAAGACAACCAGGTACAAGCCATTGACTTTCCATACTTAAATATATCCTCATATTTCCTCTTTCCAAGAGTTTTGAGGGGCTTATTATTATAAAAATAATGATAATTTCATCTTTGCAAATATTTGTCTCTGGCTACTTTTAGTCCATGACTCTCCCAGATCCAAGTCAATTAATTCCCACAGCAGCAGGAGAACTGAAGAAGGAAAGCTAATTTCTCTTCTCATGTATGAAAAATTCAGGATGAAATTTGTCCTCCTCTTGCAGGAACAACCCCCAGCACTTGGTTTTGATATTAAACCTCTAATTTATTTGTGAGTTAATAAACAAGTATCAGGTTTGAGCATCACTAGGCAGGGACAGAGTACAAGGCCCAGCTGATGGTACTCTTAGTACCAAAATTGTCCTAGATATCAGAAATTGTTTACACTGTTTATATGTTTTCAGCTTCTAAAAATAACTCTCCAATATGCACTGTCTCAGAAATAAGTAAAATAAATACCAGAAATCTGGGTAATAACTATTTTCTGCTTTAAAACATATTGTTGACAACATGAGAGTGGCAGACAAAGACTCCATCAACAAATTTGTGCATAAGGAAATGGATTTTCATGTAATTAATTATTATGAATGTTAACTAGCTACACACATCATCAGGAAAACATCAGGAAGGTTTGTTTGTAGAGGCTAAACAAAATATGTTTGCTTCCTGCTGTTCTTTTATGGGCATTTTTATTGGAAGCACAGTTTATAGAGGCATAGCAATCATATATGTTTCACTGTAAAAGCACCAGTTTCTTTGGAAACAGTATCAGGCTCTCTGCAGAAAAACAAAAGTCGGCCAAACTTCACAGTTATCAACCTAGAGTTGAAAATATTCCCTTTTCTGGAATGTCTTGATGTTATTTATGTTCACCTTTCTGGTAGTGATTTCCAGTGCAGCAAAAAATAATAATTAATTGCTAGAAACTTGAAGGTAGAAATTGCTTCAAATGGGATCTTGCCAAGGATTTGGCCAACAAACTGTTATTTATTTCAACATTTTCATCATGGTGAAGGAAAAATGTTCTTAGATGAAAACTTATCTGCCTGGTTTATTGGATGATACAAAAAATGTGAGTGATGAAAAGGATGTAGGCTTGCTGGAGTCTTTCTAGTTCACATGGTAGCACCTCTTGGCAGGAACAGTCTGAGACAGCTTTTATAACCCAATCTTCAAAGAGGCTCACCTCCATCTCCAGTTTTTCATTAATAACTCTGCCTCTGTGAACAGAAAAACACCGTGTTCCAGTGAAAGTTTGGGTGTATGGTGCCATAGAGCTGATAGGTATTGCATTCCTGGGAAAACAATTTCCATGCTAAGGAAGAGAAGCACTCTGCTGTCCCCCTGCTGTGGGCACCAAAGGCACAGGGGGCTGTGTTTGAGATCCACATAAATATCCCAGAGGCAGGTGCCAAGAAGATGGTGCCAGCCTCTTTTCAATGGTGCTCAGTGACAGGACAAGGAGCAATGGACAAAAAGTAAAACAGCTCAGCTGCTCCCTGGGTCCTGTCCCTGTCACAGAGAGCAGAAATTGGAGCTGACCCTTCACTTCCATGGGGAAGAACTTCTTTCCATGAAGGGTAGCAGAACCCTGGAGCAGCTGTCCAGGGAAGGTGTGGAGCCTCCAACTCTGGAATATGCCAAATCCACCTGTGTCACCTGCTCCGAGTGACACTGCCTTGGTGAGGGGTTGGACTGGTCTCCAGAGGCTCCTCCTACCCCCACCGATTCCATGAGATGGATTTGTGCATCTGTGACCTCACCGGGCGCCTACTGCCTCCCTGCCCTGCGACACCGCGGGTCCGTGTGCGGGATGAGCGGTGCGGAACCCCCGAGACCCGTGTGCGGATGAGCACTCCCGGTACCCCGGCTCTGTGTGCGGGGTGAGCACTCCCGGTACCCCAGCTCTGTGTGCGGATGAGCACTCCCGGTACCCCGGCTCTGTGTGCGGGATGAGCACTCCCGGTACCCCGGCTCTGTGTGCGGGATGAACACTCCCGGTACCCCGGCTCTGTGTGCGGGGTGAGCACTCCCGGTACCCCGGCTCTGTGTGCGGGGTGAGCACTCCCGGTACCCCGGCTCTGTGTGCGGGGTGAGCACTCCCGGTACCCCGGATCTGTGTGCGGATGAGCACTCCCGGTACCCCGGATCTGTGTGCGGGATGAGCACTCCCGGTACCCCGGCTCTGTGTGCGGATGAGCACTCCCGGTACCCCGGATCTGTGTGCGGATGAGCACTCCCGGTACCCCGGCTCTGTGTGCGGGGTGAACACTCCCGGTACCCCCGAGACCCGTGTGCGGATGAACACTCCCGGTACCCCGGCTCTGTGTGCGGGATGGGCACTCCCGTTCCCCCGGATCTGTGTGCGGGATGGGCACTCCCGGTACCCCCGGATCTGTGTGCGGGATGGGCACTCCCGGTACCCCCGGATCTGTGTGCGGGATGAGCACTCCCGGTACCCCCGGATCTGTGTGCGGGATGAGCACTCCCGGTACCCCGGCTCTGTGTGCGGGATGAACACTCCCGGTACCCCGGCTCTGTGTGCGGGATGAGCACTCCCGGTACCCCGGCTCTGTGTGCGGGATGAGCACTCCCGGTACCCCAGGTCCGTGTGCGGGATGGGCACTCCCGTTCCCCCCGTTCCCCCCGCTCCCCGCGGGCCCCGGCGGGCGGGCGGGCGGCTCCTCCCCGCGGTGACGGCCCCGCTCCCGCCCCGCCCCGCCCCGCCCGCTCCCCGAGAGGCCGCCCGGCTCGGCTCGGCTCGGCTCGGCTCGGCTCGGCTCGGCTCGGCTCGGCTCGGCTCCGCTCCCCGCCGCCGCGCACCGCCCGGGAGCCGCAGCCGCCCGCCGCCCGCTCCGGCCCGGGGAGCCGCTCCGAGCGCGGCTGCCGAGGTGAGCGCCCGGGGCCGGGGCAGCGCGGGCCGGGGGGAGCCCCCCATCCTCCGCGGGGCCGCTCCTCCTTCCACTCCCTTATTTCTCGCGTGCCGACCCCCCTCGCCGCCGCCTCCGGGCGATGTTTTATTCATGGCCCGGCGGGCTTTGTGCGGAGCGGGCTCGCCGGCAGCGCCGGAGCCGCGGCCGGGAAATGGCTGCGGTGGGCGGCTCGGCTGCGGCTGCCCGGCCGCGGCGGCAGCGAGCCCCGCGAGCCGCTCTCCGGCGGGTTTTATCTTATAGCTGCGTGTCGATAGCCGTGTCTGCATCCTGCGTTCTCTTTCGATGTTAGGCACCGCCGTATTGCAACACCGACCGCTCGTGCGCCGGGCGGCACTTACACCATCGCCGAGTTAACTGTAGATGTCAGACTGTGCTCGCTGTGGGTGATGTCAGATTGGTAATAACGCGCAGAAATGGGAATTCGGTGCGGGCAGAGCGTGATGGAGACGCACAGCCCCAGCGGCGCGGCCGGAGCCGCTGTGCTCCCGGCGCAGGGCCTGCTGCGGGGGCACTGCGAGAATTGCCAATTATTGTGGGAGCTGCGGACTCGGAGGAGCAGATATTTCTGCCTGGGGCAGAGATACTTGGCTGGTTTTGCCGCACAAAGATACTGAGGCGTGTTTTGGTTAGAGAGTCGGCTGATGCCTGTCTTGTCTGCCAGTTGTGCCATAAGGCAGCCTCCTCGGGTATCATCAGTCCGAAGAAGGAATTCTGTTGTGTGCTGTGGAAAGCTGGCTGTGATCAATAGGCAGTGTAATGTTAGCTCCTGATACCGCCTCTTGATTTCTCCCAAGCTGATCGTGGACCAGTGAACTAAAGCTGAGAGATGCTGAAACACGTCCCTCACCTTATTCAGTTCCCCATTCGCCTGCCCTTCACTTTCCCTATGCCTTGGTTGGTGGGATTTCAAAGGAAAAATTCTGATTCTGGGCCCGTTCAAAGAAATCCGTGTGTTTTGCTTTTGCTTGTCTCACTTGCTGTTTAATAATAGCTGTGAGGTTGAAGATCCCCGTGCCCAAGGGCTGGGGGCATTTGCCCTTCTGTACAAGTGAAGTTAACCGATACTGCTTGATGCTGTTTAACCTTGTATTATCTTAGGTGTCACATGATGAGGCAGCTTGATTTGTTTAAGGCTTTGTGATGATGCAATGCAATAATAATTATAAATCTTCTAATTGTCTGAAGAACCTTTAAATACTACTCTGTCTTGGGAGGTACTTCATGTGTGTTTATTCCCAAGAGGCATGGGCATGGATGAGTAGATGATATTAATCATCTTCATTTTGGGGTGGGAGCAGTTTGGCACAGGTGCTTTAAGTTGTAATTTATGGGTGTGATGTCATGTGCTAGATAAGCTTTCATAGGGTCTGCCGTGTAAATTACAGCCTTTGTTTATATGTGTGCATTTTCACATGTTTTGGAAATCCACGCCGTGTAGTTTGCTTGCGAGCCTGTGCCCGAGCTGTGAGCGAGATCCAGCAGAATGTGCTCCCGTTGCGCAGTGGAGCTCAGGGCTTGAGAACATTTTGCTTTGCCTTGTGCTGGCAGCCCACTCCAGGTGCGAATGTGCCCCGTGGTGTCTGCGTGCTGCCATGCGTGTGGTGGTTGGCTGCGAAAGCAGTGCCCAGGTACCTTGTTTATTTTCTTCTTTCTCCATGATCTGGTCTGTTCTGTTTTTCAGAAGCAGCGGGGTGCTGAAATTTCAACTAATGTGTGCCGGAGAGAGCAGCTTGGTTATTTCAGGCTGCTGTGGTTTGTTATGCAATCAGATTAACAAAGGTTGAAATGATCATTCAGCTTTGGGTAAACACGATCTATAGAACAGCGCGGATTAGGGCAGCTGTTTACATCGGGCGGATCTGCTGCACTTGGCGTGTTGCAAATACTGGATGGAAACACAATGAGTGGCACAGTAATGTATTAAGCAAATTTTTAGCAATCTCTTTGGGATTATGATGTACTTACTATCCATTGTCTGTGCTCCAGGAGCTTCTGCAGTGCCTTAGGTGCTCCCTGCACGCATGGGCAAACTTACTTTCGGCTTCATTTAGTTGACAATCCAAGGCCTCGTGGAAATCTTTGTGCACAGCTGCTGGTGCCTGGGGTGCCGTGTGGGCTCCGGGCTACTGCAGTCCAGGGCTTGGGTCAAGCAAAACGCTGAACTGGAAGCTTCCTGAATTAAACAAAAACCACAATTCCAGCCCCGTTTGCTGAAGCTGGCAGCCCCTCAACCGGTCCATTATTAGTTGGCCGTTTCTTGTCGCTGTTGTGGAGGTGGCGTTGCTGCAGGAGAGGTTCTCGGGGCTTGTCTCCCTGAATCTGCTCAGCGAGGAGGCGATGGCGAAGATCGGTGTGGGCATCGCCACCGTGCTGGAGGTGACAGGAGCTCAGAGGGGAAGGGGCAGGCTGGGATGTGGGGAAGTACCTGGAGTGTGGGGAGGAGAGGGACGTGTTGGTCAGCACGAACCTCTCCATAGGTGTGCGCAGTGCCTCGCTGGGACCCGCCTGCAGCTGCACTGCTCTGGGGGGGCATCTTGTTCTGAAAGAACAGCATGTGATGGCATCAAGTGTTTGGGGAAAAGGAGGAGTAAGCAACTCCTGCAGTCAGTTTTTCAGAGGCCTTTGTGTTGGTGTGGAGCCTGAGCCTTCCAATCTTCCCCTCATTCAGGGAAAGGTAAGGGACCATCGAGGGTGCTACTTTTCCATCCCCTGCTAGGGGATGGAACAGGACTATTTTCTATATATGCTCAAAAATACTCTGGAAAGAGTTTATTATTGTTGTTGTTACTTATTTCCTTGCTGGCTGTGTTTAATTCTATATCAGCAGGTATGTAATTGCAAAGGGATTTCACAGGCACTTGCAAATGTCTATCACTGTGCTACTTCTGTTCTGTGTGCTGTATTACATTTGTGATAAATGTACACAAGCACATTTTGGGTACACTGGAATCCAAAGAGGTACTTCAGGGAATAGGTAATATTATTAAGGCTGTGTTGTAGGATGTTCAGAGGAGGCAGTGTGGAATGTGATATGCAGTCAGTCATGCTAAGACGATTTCTTTTGCTGGTACGACTTTACTTCAGCTCTGATTTATTAACAGGTTGGTCTCTTATAATCTTCAATCTTGTGAATGAAGTAAGAGAATTCTGTGTTAGACTAAAGGTCTGTCTAGCTCAGTAGCTCATCTGATGGGGCCACTCCCGGGTGCACAGAAAAACTGGAACAGTGAAGTTCTCTTCCTGGTAAACCCTTGTAGCAGTCACCACTCTAGGAGACCTTTGGGCTGGCAGTTCCAGGGAGGAATTAAACTGTGTTTAATAGCTGCTGATGGATTGTCTTATCTAAAAAATGTCTTAATTAGTTTTGAAAAACTTAATGACATTAGTGTTCACAACCTCCTGTGCTGGTGAACTTCTGGTATAATTGTCCAGCCTGAAAGGGATTTTTTATTTTAATTTTACAGTTTGCCATTTGAAGTCCTTGTGATTCTATCTAAATTCTAGAAGAATATATTTCTTTTTAGATTTTGACACAGAACTGAACTATATATGAGGATGCTATGTGTGATCTTAGAAGGTAAATGAAGATAACTGCTTTATATTTGCAGTGAGGTATAATCCCAGCCCTGTTTGCAGTCATGTTTCACGCATAGGTACCATTATGGCTGTCATATTTTGGTGACTGTATGCAAAAAAATCTTCAAATACAAGAAGTGATTTCTGCAGCTGTGCATCCTTGACATAGGATGGGGTGAGTCTTGATTCACAAATACTCCGATGACAAAAGAGTTGCTGCAAGCCAAGGAGCAACTTCAGCAATGTTGAAAGATTTGCCAAAGTAAATCTTAGCAAGGGATCTGGTGCAACTTTTAGGGCATGCGTAAGAATGCAGAGAATAGAATTTAAAAGTTCTAATAAAGAGCTTGAAGTTAAGTAATACAGATTCCATAAGTGCTGCATGGTGCAGAAAAAGCAGTAACTCAGTCCCTGAACTTTTCTATAGGTTGGCTTCCACCATGCTATCCTTGACCATTTCAAGAATAGATGGGTGGTAACAAAGTTGTGGTTTAAATTCCACTTTTCCTTTGTGTGGCAGGGAACCAGAATCTTTTGGCTGTGACTTGACCTACAGTATTTGCTTTTGTGCTGGTGGTTCAGGAGAATGTCTGGGTTGCAGGAGCCCTCTGGGTCACAGACTTCTGGAAAAGTTGTGTTTGGTTTATTAAAATAAGCTGTTCAAAGGTTGGTAATTTATTCAAAATCACACAAAGAGTATCGTGAGCTGGAAGGGACCCATCAGGATCATTGAGTCCAGCCCTCTCTCTGCACAGATGCTCCACCAGTTCCACCCTGTGCATCCCTGGGAGCTTTGTCCAAACCCTCCTGGAGCTCTGGCAGCCTTGGGGCTGTGCCCATTCCCTGGGGAGCCTGGGCAGTGCCCTTATTGTGGTGGCTTCTGAAATCCTGTTGATAAAAATGGCTAGAATTTTCATGTTTCTAAAGCAAATAGAAATTCTTGATATTGTAATTTCTACTGCTTTTCCACCCTTAAGACTGTAAACTTATGATTAAAGTGGCTGGAATTTCAGACTGATGGTTTACGGGTGGGATAATAGTAGAGACTGACCAGACAAATACTTTGTTTTAAAAATAGAGAGGCTTACATAATGATGCTATACACAACAACAGTATATGTATATGGAGAAGATCTCTGGAGTAGTATTAATCCAATAGCATCCCTTCCCTGCTTGTCTGCTGGTGCTTGCTTCAAAGGAGGGTAATTCTGGAGTAAAGAGATGCCAGTGCTGAGTGATTTAAATGGAGTATTGATCCAGTCCTGAGCAGACTTCAGGCATGGCTATGGGTTAGAAGTTTGGAGGAACAGGTTTTTAAACCATTGTAAGCTCCTAATTTGTTACCTGAATAAAATAAAGCCATTCTTCCTCTTTTTTTTTTTTTTTTTGGTGGAGCCCTGTCAGTCTCTTTGTGTTTTGAGTTTACAGATATTCAGGTCTTAATGTGTAGCATGTCCGAAAGAATCAGGATGGGATCAGAGGCTTTCCTCTTGCTATGAAAGTTGCCTCAGTTTCTTCTCCTTCTGTCTCTGTATCTCTAAGAGAAAAGCACAGACTTTATATATCAAATTTGGAAAAAGATAAAGGGTAAGTTCTCTTGAAATATGTATTTAATAGAGAAAATTTCCCAGGATCTATATATACAGGTGGGCATTTTCCCAAAAGTATGTTAGGTGTTGAGGCCATAAAAATGTTGCTGCTAACCAAAATTCTAGCTCTGAATGTATCTATAAATACCATAGCCTCACCCCTTTGGCTCTCTGAAATTATATGTAGCTGGAATAATTTCATGCATCAGGACATAAAAGGACCTTGGTGAACTTGTGCTTTTATAATAAACAAGGAAAAGTTTATCTAGGTTGCCCAGTTTATTCACACAAAGACAGCTCTTTACTCGGGGAGGGGGAGGTACTTACCTCGTAGACTTTGCTCATGAGGATTTTTATCTCATCCTGTCCCAAGATTTTATTAATAAAAGCAAAACAACTTTAATGTTTATGATGCATTTAGACGGACAGAGCTCTGCGTTTTGGAGTCACAGCTAATTAGATTTGTGGAGCCTGTGCAATTTTGGATATTGGGCAGGGAGGTTGTTTTTGCAGGAAGACACAGAGGAAGGAACACGTTGCTAGTATTCCCTTTCTTACAGTAGCATTTTCCATGCCCTGTGCATGTTCACGATGTTGGTTTGCTGTTCCTGGGGAAGCAGGCTTGTTGATTGTTTGGAGAATTCCTTTTAAAATTGCTATTCAGTAAAGCTCTGAGGAGCAGACATTTGCACTGCCCCAGTGGAAAACAGTCTGAGGGAAGAATCGACTGGTAAACCAAAACAACTGCTGTCTTTCTAAGGGCTGGTAATGGGATGTAAGCCCATTTCTGCTTCAACTTTGAGGCATGACTAAGATGTTTCTCTGTTCTGGCAATATCCACTTTGGATCCTGCTGCTTAATTTCATCTACAGGCCTGCTCACCCGAACTGCATCTTGAAGGGAGCACAGCTGACGTGCAGGAAATGCACGGACAGGCTGACTGCAGGAAATGCACTGACAGCGTGCAGGAGCTGCTCTGTTGTTCCCGATGGCTGTGCCCAGCTCCAGGGGTTCTCTGGGCTGGGCTGTTCCAGGCTGTGGTGAGGGATGCTGAGCACGGCCAGCCATGTGATGCTGAAGGACAGGCTGCTGCTCCTCTCCTCGCAGTGCAGCCCTGCCTCCTATGTGCGTGCAGTAGTTGTGGATGCCCAGAGGCTCAGCTTTCCCTTCCGAGCCTTTATTTTTGCAGGAAATCTGAAACAGCAGAGCTGAAGCTGCTGAATAAGCCAGACTGAATCCAGGGGAGCAGATCTGGCTCTCCCCTTCATCTGCCACAGATATGTGGAGAGGAGAAACTCCTGTGAGTGCTTCAGGGAATTGTTTGATTAGTGGGTGAAAGGAAAGCCAGCCAGGGTTTTCTAATCCCATCTTTATTCTTTTTACCGCTCAAAGGTCTAATGGATATAATTGTTTTTTCTTATGAATTATGTTTTTAAATTACTCCCTAGTTTTCAGGTATGGGAG